TTGTAGCCTGTATAGTAGCATCCTGGCGTCTGCTCAGTGGCTGCCAGTAACACTTCCTTCCCCAGGTGTGACCAAATATCTTAAGACATTGCTAAATATCCCCTGAGGAGCAAAGTTGCCCCAGTTAAGAACCACTAATTGAAAGTCGATTTCTTTTTTAGTCTTTTTTTAAAAATTAGTAGGCTTTATTTTTTAAGGGTAGTTTTTGGTTTATACAAGAGTTGAACAGAAAATCCAGAATATATATATATATATATATATTTATATATATATATTTATATTTATCTTCTCTCCTCCCCTCTCCCTTCTCTTCAGTTTCCCCATCAGTAACATCTTGCNGCAAGAAGATCAAACCAGTCAATGCTAAAGAAAATCAACCCTGAATACTCTTTGGAAGGACTGACGCTGAAAATGAAGCTCCAATACATCGGCCACCTGATTTGAAGTGCCAACTTATTGGAAAAGATGCTGAATCCAGGAAAGATTGAGGGCAGGAGGAAAAGGGGACAACAGAGGATTAGATGGTTGGATGGCATCACCGGCTCAATGGATGTGAGTTTGAGTAAACTCCAGGAGTTGGTAATGGACAGGGAGGCCATGGGTTTGCAAAGAGTCAGACATGACTGAGCGACTGAACTGAACAGAAAGTTCATAGTCACATTATGACTCTGTGTTGTACTGATTCTATAGCTTTTGACAAATGCATGTCGTATATCCATGATTGCAGTATTATTCAGAATAGTTTCATGGCCCCCCAGATCCTTTGTGCTCCACCTATTCAAGTGTATTCCTTTTAAAGTAATCTAAACTCTCCTTAAAATGATCCCTAAGCCTATTAATGCTCATTTTTGTTGCTTCTCAGTGATTGATTAGTACCCAAAAGAAGTCTTAATGAATGAATATTCATTGTTATTTAGGATGCAGGCTCATGATTAACCTTTGGTAATTTATTGATTTATTCAGTCATCATTTCCAGATATATAACATCACATCTTAGAACTGGGGTAGGTTCTGATCGTGCATAGTTAAAATTACTTTTGAAAATGTGTTGGGAAGGTGACCTGTCGCAGACCAAAATTCATCAGGTAGTGTTTTTCTCCATTTGAAACACTTAGCTGTTTCTTAAGTTAAGCACTTAAATACACAGGTTTCTTATGATTAGTGAGCATCTATTAAATGCTTAAATACTACAATAGAAAAGTCTCAGTATGTTGAGAAGCTGGTGCTTTATGGACATAGGAACTAAAATCATCTTAAAGGGAAGCAACTTCAAACCTTCCATTTCACACTTATTCTCAACAATGAGCTTTTGAATAGAATGATGGATAGAATTTCCCCCTTATTTCTTCCCCCTTTCTCCTCTCTTTTGGCTGAATACATTTGCATAACTTAAAAGCAATATCATGAAATAGAGAACAAACAATAACCAAGGCGGCAGATGGGAGGGTGGGCTGGATGGGGAGATTGGAACTGACACAAATGTACTACAATGTATAAAATAAATGACTAATGAGAACCTACTGTACAGCACAGGGAATTCTATCCAATATTCTGTGGTGACCGAAATTGGAAGGAAATATAAAATTAGAGTGTGTGTGTGTATATATATATATATGTATGACTGATCCACTTTACCATACAACAAGAAACTAACAACATTTTAAAACAACTACTCTAGTAAAAATTAATTTTAAGAATTAACACAAATTTTTTTTTTTTAATGCAACTCCATCCTATGACACTTGTGTCTACATGCTCGGATGGAGTATACACATAATACATATTTGCTAAATGAATGAGTGAATTTGGGGTAAATAGCAGCTTCCCTTCTACTCTAGGGAGGTCTTGATCACCACAAAATTAACTCCAATCCAAATAAATAAGTAAATGCAAGGTTGAATTCTTGAAACTCATCATGCAGTTCACATGAATCCAGAAGATAACACACTTGTGGATGGTGGTGATGATTAATAACAAAAGGTATTATCTTTAGCCTGTCACTTCAGAACATATACATGTATTTGCCCTTGACAAAAAAATTCATAAGCCAGCCTCTCTGAAAAGGAAATGGGATTTGAAGGACAGAGGATATAAGAAATGATTAAGAAAAATAAATATCATTGTGGGAGTTGACAGATGACCTTTCCTTTGATTAAATTGGACTGTGGTATATTTTCGTTTTCAGGAAGCCCAAACCGGTTTCCCCAGATTGTCAATGTGATCATACTGCTCAGATTTCAAATGAATGGAGAGATTTATCCTTATGTAAGAACGGGAGCCAAGTGACTTTTCATTTCCTGGAGTGATTTGTAAAGCCGGATCTTTCACCTTTAGGGAGGGCCACAAGCCTGGTTTTGTAGCATTGACAGGTGCAGATCATTCTGTCTTCCAGCTAGGTGATACTCTTGTCTGTTCTCACTGAAAGATGGTAAATTTATGTAGAGGTTGCTCAGTGGGTTCACTTGATTGCCCTGTGGCCTGGTGGAGAAACTTTGATAAAACCAGTAAACAAACCTTCTATAAACACTGAAGGAGAACCACTCACACCACACCTCATCAGGTGACAGGACAGAGCAGTTTCTAATCCAGCACAGTGCAACCCGGGCCAAACAAAACCAGCCAGCACGCCATGTTTGGTTCCCCAGTTTGACCTGTGACATTAGATCTAGGAGGACTGGATGAATGCTTTNTCACACCACACCTCATCAGGTGACAGGACAGAGCAGTTTCTAATCCAGCACAGTGCAACCCGGGCCAAACAAAACCAGCCAGCACGCCATGTTTGGTTCCCCAGTTTGACCTGTGACATTAGATCTAGGAGGACTGGATGAATGCTTTGGGAGGAGATTGATCTTGACTTCAATGTTTCGTCCTCCACTTGCAAGTTCATCTCTTCCAACATCACAGTTCACACTGGGGCAAACCTCAGGGAAGCAAATGTAAAAATGCTCGAGTGATGGCGTTTGGAACTATCGGTTCAGAGGTTTCATCTGTAAGTAGGGGTGAGGGCGAAGGGGGAGCTCTGCCTTGCCAGAGATGAGAATATTGTCTGGGCTTTCTAGGACACTGCTCTGGGAATCTCCCCCCGCCCGCCGTAAAGTAGTCTGGCTAAATAATAGTACTTAGCACATGGGAAGAGTTGTGATGGGACTTTCACGAGGTGAACAGTGCCCTCCAAGTGCTTTCCACGGCGCCTAGCTCTTGGTAACCTCAACAAAGGGTGCGTGTATGCTAAGTCACTTCAGTCGTGGCCAACTCTTTGTGACCCTATGTATACCGGAGTGGGTTGCCATGCCCTTCTCCCGGGGATCTTCCCAACCCAGGGATCAAACCCGTGTCTCTTATATCTCCTGCATTGACAGGTGGGTTCTTTACCACTAGCACCAGCTAGGAGGCCGTAGCTACTGGTAAAGTTATGAAGAGGTGGAAAGTAAGAGGAAGAGTTACCAGTATTGTGTTTGAGAAATGCCAGGGTGGTCAGGATTTTGCTCTTTAATGCACTTACTTAAGCTCCAGTGGATTCTTTTGAGAGTCATGTCAGTTTCAGCGGAAACTGCTTTCTTAAATACCTGGAGCAATTTAAGAGTGTTTTGTATCATACAGCACAGGACGAACTATGACTGAGTCATGCTCCCTGTTCTCCCTTGCGTTAAGTTCCTTCAAGACCACACCCTTCTCTTTGGACAGCCATGATTTTACCTGTTTCTTTTTCTTTCTTTCTTTTTTTAGTTTTGTTCTCAAAAGTCATTGTTTTTGATCAAGATATTGTTGATTTGAAATATTATACATTTCATGTGTATAACATAATGATTCACAGTTTTTAAAGATTGTATTCCATTGATGGTTTTTTATAAAATATTGCCTATGTGCCCCAAATTTTGCCATTTTAAAATGAGCTGGTGTTTCACAAGGTACATTTTAGTTAACTTGATACAATTTGAGGGACATCTTGGGTTTCATTGGGCTTGTGGCTCAGCTGGTAAAGAATCCGACTGCAATGCGAGAGACCTGGGTTCGATCACTGGGTTGGGGAGATCCCCTGGGAAGGGAAAGGCTACCCGCTCTAGTATTCTGACCTAGAGAATTCCATGAACTGTGTAGTTCATGAGGTCGCAAAGAGTCAGACACAACTCAACCACTTTCACTTAGGTTTCATTAGAAGCACATTTTTCAAGTCATCTTCTGATGTCCACAGATGGCCAACTTTGTTCATTTTATTCCAGAAAGTGGTAGGGAAGTAATAGAAAGGTCTACACACATCTTTTTATTGCAATAATATATATTACGAAAAAGTGGTAATACTGTGTGAATGCTTTTAGAATAACTAGTGTCCCTATGTTGTGAATATTATGTAGACACTAAAGATAATTATGAGGGTGCTATAGGAACATGGAGAAAGTATATAATGACATTTGAAACATGCTATATAAAAACAATATGAAATATGCACAATTATAGTAATACTTTTGTAATAAAATAGATACATATAGGAAATACACAATGAAGACAGCTGTGAGTTTGTAAGGAAACTGAGATTATGGCAATTTAACATTATTTTAATTTTCTTTTGTCTTTGTAAAAGCCTTAGAAATCTCATCAGATGGCTTGGTTGTCCATTTGGGCACTGTCTTTAGCTAAAGTCTGTCGCCTTCCATCTGCTGACAGTAACATCTGACACAATCCAGTGTACTATCGTTGGGCTTCCCAGGAGGTAAATCAGTGGTAAAGAACCCACCCGTCAATGCAGGAGACGTGGGTTCGGTCCCTGGGTCAGGAAGATACCCTAGAGAAGTAAATGACATCCCACTCCAATATTCTTGCCTGGGAAATCCACGGGCAGAAGAGCCTGGTGGGCTACAGTCCATGGGGTCACATGTCACAAAGGAGTCGGACAACAGCAAATGTGCTATAATTGTTACTTTTCAGATTTCACCTGATGACCAGCTTGGATAATCATTTAAGTAACAGCAATTGACATACTGTATTACTTTTCTTTTTAGTGATGAAAATGCCAGGAAAGATTTAAAGACACTTCCAGCTTTTCCAACCAAAACTCTGCAGGAGCATCCCTCCCTTGCTTACTGGTAAGCTGAGTCAGGATGGCCCATGACCCCATTGCCATAGCCTCCATTGAGAACTACATGCTCCTCAGGAGACTGCAAGAAATATAAGTGAGGGAAATGTCGAATTGCCTATAATATGTGTCAGACTAATAAGAAGTAGACCTTGATCCTTCTAGTGACAAGGTCTTGTTAAAGCTCTCTGGAGACTGTCATCCCAAGACTTGTGTCATATGTGGAGAGTAGCCATTTGCCTTTCCATTCAAGTGCATAAAAGATTTGTAGAGAGTGCTGTTAAGTGAATCATGCTTAGTATATCACTGTGTAACACAGCCCTCATCTGGAGGAGTACAATGCAAGTGGTATAAAAGACAGATTTCCTTGAACAGAGGTGTTTGTAATGAACAGAAACAACCTGAATGATCAGAGGTTTCATCTACAGCCAGAAGTCATTGTCTATTTTGAGTTGTTTTCTTTGTCTGTGTTTTAATGAACCCATTGTACCCATCTCCCACGCAACATTTTTCCTAAAGAAGTATGTTTTCTCCCCTTAAACTACTTACGTTCCCTTTAAATATATTTTGCTTGGTTTAAGGCTGTGAATCCTGGAGATGGTTTTCCTTTCCACTAAAAAACTGGTTACAAAATAAATATTCACCATGAATGAGCTATAATATGAAAGTTGGACTATTTCCCAAGTCAATAATGAGAGTGAGTGCTGAGGCTACATTGCATCCTGAATCTGGAAGCTTTTAAATGAATCATTGTTAAGTGATAGTTTCTTAAGAGTAAAAAGCAAAGACCTATTACTGTTGATTATTGGTTATATAGAGATAAAAACATTTATTCTTCTCAGTTATACTTCAGATGTGACTAACAAGCTACCAGTCTGAAAGGATGGTAAATAACTGAATGGTGTCAAAGTTGATCAGAGTTCACCCATTTTTCCCCTTTCTAGTCAAAAAGTTTTATCCTAAGACAATAATGAAGGGCTTTCTCCTAAGGTATTATGTGCAAGAGTCATGAGAGTAAAGTATTTTAGATTGAACACTCACTCAGAAGCATCTTTAATTCTTTCTAAATCTTAGCAGTTTAAGGAAAATGTCTATAATACCTTTCACCTGCTAATCTCTTTAAAAACTTTTAATTTCCCCCTCAAGTCTCTCTAGCATTTAATAATATTATTTTGTATTTATTATATTCCATCAGTTATGGGAGAAAATATTAGTTTTTGACTTGATGAATTTATATTATTTTATAGTATTGATATTATGTATATCAATAAGATATCAGTAATATCAAAACATTGATATTTTTTCTAATAACTTAAAGTTTTAAAAATTTACACATAAGTAAGTTATATAAAATTGTAAACAGTCAAGACAAGGTAGTCAAATGTCTGAGGTTCAAGAGTCTGTGTCCTACAAAAACAAAAGTCAACCAGCTTCTGTCTCCTGAACAAGTTCATCTAGGCCTTCTTTCTCAAGTATTTTCAGTGGCTACCTGAAAATCTTGAAATAGAATCTATACTTCATACAGTCATATATTGCTGTACTTTTCATTTCCTTGTTTTACAGTGAGGACAGAGTAATTGAACATTATTTGAAAATCAAAGGTTTGACTCGGGGTCAAGCTGTCGTTCAGTAAGTATCTTTCTGAAGATATGGTTGTAATGTCTTCTGTTTGAGAAAGTCATCTGAAATGATTTCTGTTGTATAGTTTGTGTGCATATAGTACCTGGCTAGAAGTATCGTACCATGAATTACAAAACTTCATGGGCTATTCTGTACTTTGGTGTCATCAATTCAGATGCCTGCCAATGTCAGGCAGGTAACAAAAATGAGATTGTGGTGACTGTGGTGAATTAGAGAGCTTTTGACCTGGCTGGAGACAAGGCTACTCAGCCTCAGCATTCAGGCATAATGTTGCCAAATCTTCTAATGTTTTTCAAGAAAAAAAGGAAATTACAATTTTTAAATCCTAATTTTTTTCTTTTTTATTTATTTTAATTGGAGGCTAACTACTTTACATTAAATCCTAATTTTAAAAATTACAAAGTAATGTTAAGAAATTTTAGTACAATGTGGGGCAGACAGTACCTGTCTGGAGGCCATGTTTGGTCGCCTGGTTGGCGACTCTATTTTGGGTGGAACACACAATGTTGGATTGGATAATCTGTTTCTTTGTGGTACAAACAGCAGACCGTAATGATAGATTTCTACATTTTAGATGTACAGAGTATCCGTTATTTATTAAGAACAGTTCACAAGCTACATTAAAGTTTTTAAATTATAAAAACTAAATTTACAATTTTTAAGTTGTAAAAACTAATATAGTATTTTTACTATATTAATTGTGGAATAACTTTTATCATGATAGAAGGTGTTTTTTTGGTGTATTTTTGTAAATCTGCCAAATATAGCGCAAATCATGTGAGAAGTGAAATAAGGACTTGGTGATCACTATTCCCCTGCCAGGTATAGATTCCTCCCACATCCCTGCTCTTGCACTCATCTTCTTTTTATCACAGTATACCTGCTGTGATCTTCAAGGCAGAAATCAGAAGTTAGCAGTTCCAAAGCTGAATCCCTGATTTGTGCCCATCTTCTGAACTGGAAAAGAAAAAGGAACGGCAATTTCCATGAATAATTTTAGGTTAGGTTAGTGAGCATATTATGAGCTGTTCTTGATTAAATGCAGTATCTTCTTACTTCCTTTGATCATTATCGTTATGGCTCCAAGTAAGAGACTCAGTAGTTAAGGCTCTAGACTGTGGAACCCAACTCACTTTGTGTGAGAATCCTGGCTGTGCAGTGTACTTGCTACCTGGCCTTGGCACATCTATTTAACTTTTTATATTCACTTACATGTAGACCTTTTACTTTGAAAAATGATCACGTTTATTGATTACAAGGTCCAGAGCCGCTGATCTTCAAAATGTTATTAAACAGCCCACTTGTATCATACCAGAGTCTCAGTTTTTTGTGGGCAGAAAGGAAAGCTTACACAATTTAGTCCACTCCATAAACTCTTAAGGGCTGCCCTCGTGGTTCAGTGGTAAAGAATCTGCCTGCTAATGCAGGAGATGCGGGTTTGATCCCTGGGTCAGGAGAATCCCCTGGAGAAGGAGATGGCAACCTATTCCATGTTTCTTGCCTGGGAAATCCCATGGACTGAGAAGCCTGGCAGGCTACAGTCCATGGGGTCACGAAAGAGTCAGACACAACTGAGCAACTAAACAACAACAACATAAAGTCTTAAAAGAATAAATACTTGTTGAACTAAAAATAACAAGAGGTGTATAATCACTGTAACTTTTTTGAGGGAGTACATATATTTAAAAATCAGGTTTACATATAATAAAACTCACTCTTTTAAAGCATATATTTCTAAGAGGTTTGACTTAATTTCTGAAAGTGTACCACCATCAATATATAGATTACCATTATGTTTACTTATTATGAGCAAGACTCAAAAGTTGATTCTAATGTCTTGCATCATTAAGTGCTAGTTTAAAAATATACTTGCAATTTGTGTTTATAATAAAGTATAATATGTTTCTTAGCCATAGAAATTTTAACATGCAGGAAATAATATTTCCTCTAGCTTTTTGAAATTAAATTTTTGTTAACAACCTTCTAACATTTGAGTAAGGTAAAATGTATTACTCCCTAGAGTGGTTTATTCTATTTCTGCCTTTAGTTAAAGATGTGGTTTTAATGAGTAAAGTAGATACAAATGGTGTTTCTTTAGATCACTTTTCCCAAAAGGGCCCTCTAACTAATTTAATAAAAGGTTATAACATACATTCATTTTTCATAGGTATATGAAAATAGTAGAAGCTCTGCCAACCTATGGAGTCCATTATTATGCAGTAAAGGTAAATACTTTTATATGACAAAGCTTTCATCATGACTGTGTTATAGTATGAATATTAGTAAACAGCACTAACTTTCCAAAATCACATAAATCATTATGCATATTTATGTAAATTATCTCTAGAAATTTCAGCATTTAGAATAGAATTGAATTTCTTTAAAAAAAAGCCTGATATCTTGTCATTGTCATAGCAAATTATAAAGCACATTATTTTTGTAAAATACTAGCTATGTTCAAATGTGTTCCAAAGCCTCTGTTAGTCCTGAAATATTCAGATTATTCTCTTCTGACACACCTATGCATTTACCTACTTTTGCTGATTTATGTCTTTTCCAATTGTGTGCCTTTTCAATACTACTGGATGTACATTTCATAGCACTTTTGTATGAGAATCATTGGAGAATCATCCCATAACATTTAAGCAGCTTCATAAAATCCTCAAGTTTCTACAAGATTTGTAGTACCCATTTTCAGTTGGTATGTTTTATATTTGGGTAGTATTTTTAGATTTCATACACATGCAGAAATTGACTAAGAAACACTTTGAGATGATAGAGAACAAAGCATGTTGTTAATAAAAGAGTCTTGTTTGAAAGAGGTATAATTTTATACTTGATCAGTCTTGAGTGACTTTCCAAGTTCTGACAGTGTTTGCAATTCCAAATGGTGGGGAGTTGGATCATAAATACCTGTATGATGAGGACACCTTTTACTAAAAATACATACCAATTCCATTTTAATTTCTACTGATTCTTAATTTGTTTGCATATGGGTATATGTTTAAGCCTAAGTTTTTTCTTTCCCTTTGTCAGCATACCATTTCTTTGGCAAGACCTAAAAGATAAATTTATGAATAAAAAAAAAATTCCTCCTCTCCCTATATGTACCTCAAAGTCATTATTCAAGCATCTTGTCTTTGAATCGTATAACTCATCTGAAGAGTGCTTTAGTATTCCCCTGTTCCTTGTTAAGTTTATGAACATTAGGATTTGGAACCACTTTCTCATCTTGGTAATTTTTTGGAAACTTCCCTGACCTTTATAGCTAGTAACTGATCAAGAGAACAAAGAGCTTTTTTCTTTTTCTTCTTCTTTTTTTTTTAAATGACTAACTGTCTTTGTATTCTGGATTAATTCCTGTTTGAATTACTTATATTTTATATCTTCTTTCCAATTGTTTAATCCTAACAGTAATGTGTCTTTCTTTTTGATGGTATTAATAGTATTAGTGTGTTTTGATTTATAGATCTTATTTGAGGGAATTCTAAGGAAGTGTTCTAATAACAAGTCAGGATTTTAAATAGTGTTTTGTTTACCAAGACAAAATATTTTGACTTGCTGATACTTGTTAAAGCAAGAAATTGGTAGATATTACTTCATCTCTAGAAGACTTAACAATTAGGTCTTGGTTCTCATGTTTTTCCATCTTCCAGGATAAACAAGGACTTCCTTGGTGGCTTGGAATCAGCTATAAAGGAATTGGCCAGTATGATTTGCAAGATAAGGTGAAACCTCGGAAAGTAAGTGTGAATCATTTCAGATACTTACGGGAACACTAAGCTGTTCTAGAGCTAGAAACGTCACTTTAAGAGGCAACAAGCAATCTTGCGTAAAGAATTTTTGATTAGTGAAGTCCTAGGTGTACAGAAGAGTCAAGTTAAATGTGAAATATTTTTTATAACTCATTCATGCACCATTTATACAGTAATTCCATGTCTGATCATTTATTAGTAAAATTATGCACAAAGATTTAACTACAAGGATGTTGATCACAACATAGTTTATAAGTATACACATCTAATTTCTATTTTAAGTTAGTATACATGATGATGCCATTTGTTTAATAAATTTTATCTATATATAAACATACATACACACATCCACACACTTATGCATACATATACATCTTTACAATGAATGGATGAACAAATGGATGAACTATAAAGATGTAAGCCAAAAATTTGAGTGCTGGCTATCTCTCAGGGGTATAGTTACAAGTAATCTTTCTACTGTTGCTGTTATCATTGTTTATCTTTGTTTCACAGTTTTCCACATTTAACATGTCTGCTTTTGATAAAGGAATTATGTGTTGTTTAATAAAGGTACACTGTCTGGTTTGGATTTTCCAGAGCTAATAAGTTAACATTCTTGGCAATTTGATTGTGAGAGTGTTCCTCTTGACCAAGCATAAGTGTACAATACTTCTTATTGCCCATGTAAGAATTGATGGGTTTGTGTAGATAACCCATCTAGCTGTTCTGGCCTGCTCAGTATTATAGGGACATAACTTACTCATGCTGGTGGGTTTTGCCACCCTCCCTGTCCTCCGCCGCCCTGTCTGGGAATCACAGCTCTGAAACAATGGCCTATAACAACAGACCGTGGTCCAGCGGTCTGCGCTATCGCACCCCGATGTCACAGCCTTAGATAGCTCTTAGCACTTCTGTCCGTCTCTGGCTTTAATGTGTACTAGGAAAACAGCCATGCTTTTCATAAAGTCAGGCCCTGTTCATAATACCACACGCTCTTCATCTTCTAAGTGTCCGTTCAGCTTCAATTGGTGCTTACAATCTTCCTTTGAATTTAGGCAATAAATAAGCTACCCTTTTCTCCTCATTTTATGGTTGTGAAATTGGCACAGAAAACATGAAAGGGTGTCTCCCAGAGCAAACCGCAGTCCCCTTTGAATGCCCATTCAGCTCTCCTGGATCAGACTGGCTGGGCACTGTGGCTTCCTATTGGGGATTCTCAATAAAAATAAGACGGCATTCAGCAGAGATCCGCCTGGTGAGTGACAGTAAGCAAACCTGTGTGTAATTACACAGTTAGAACTTGATCTCTGTCATTTTGGCCCAGTGACCCAGATCAATTGAAATAAGGGATACTTAATTTCCAGGAGGAGTATAAGTAATTAGTGGTTGTGTTATGTTTAGGGTTTGGGTTTTTGTTTGTTTGTTTAGGTGGTGCCACAGGGCCTGTGGGATCTCAGTTCCCTGACCAGGGATTGAACCCTAGTCACGGCAGTGAAAGCCCAGAACCCTATCCGCTAGGCCCCTGGGGAACTGCCCAACAAGGATTGTATTTGAAAGTTTGTTTCTAAGATTGAATTTCTAATAATGATAAATAATGCTAAATTTCTAATAAAGAAATGATAGGCATATCACTTTTAAAATATTTTTCAAAATCATTTTACTGTGCAGTTATATATTTTAATTTTTTAGCAAACATTTTAAATAATCATTTTAAAAGAAACAAACAAACCAAAAAAGCACCCGCTATAGAAGCATGTCAGTTGGGGTAGGAAGTCCTTCATCCTCATCCTTCGCCTGTATAAGCATTGTCAAGAGACCGATACTGGTTCATACAGACTTTGTCAGTGTGTATACCAAGCTTTTACAGCGAGAAAGAAACCTTGCTATGTATACTATTTCTTTTCTTTTTTTAAAAAAAAATATTTATTCATTTATGTATTTTGACTGTGCTGGGGCTTAGTTGCAGCACATGGAATCTTCACTTGTGGCATGTGAACTCTTAATTCCAGCATGTGGGTCTAGTTCCCTGACTGGGGATCGAACCCGGGTCCTCTGCATTGGGAGGGAAGGCCCTGTATGCTGTTTCATACTATGTCATATTTCTCCAAGCCACTCACAAAACTGGTCTCTTCACTCTTTTTAAAGCTGCCTAGTTCTCTATGGTGTCGAAACACATGCTTTATTTAACCAGTTCTCTCATGATGGGCATGTGAGTTGTTTCCACCGCTAGGAGGATTGTTTTGGAGCATAATGAGTTTCTTATTGAAACTAGCCCCTAGTTTATCTATTGTGTAGGATCAAATGACTGCCTATCATGTTTTCTTATGGCAGACCTCATCTCTATTGACTTTCTTTTTTTGGTAATTTATTTCTTCCCTGAATTTTATGTTAATAACATTTCTTAAAAATTGTTTGTTTTGAATTTGCATATAAAATATAACTTAAATTGACTCACAGATAATTTCTTAGCTAATGTGCCTTGAGAAAACTGAGATTCTCACAGACTCTAAATGGATCTACTAAAAACAACCAGGCTTTCTTCCAAAATAATGGTGAATCAGAATCTGCACAGTAAATATTGCTGTTAATTTCCTCTCAGTTGCCCATGACTCACAGGCCTTTCTTCACATTCACAGTTTCATAGAAATTGGTAAATATTGTTTGACACTGATCATAATCAGGTTTGCTTGTTCATTTCAGAGTCTAGACAAGGATCAGAAGCCACTTCCTTCTAGAGTTTTCCTATTTCATTTTTAAGATATGCCACTCAGTGTAAAAGGGACCATAAACCAATCATCTGGTGTCATAAGTGTCTTGCTTTCTCATTCTTGGTTATTTTTGGAGGTATCCAGTCTTTACCATAGTTCACCTTCTCCTTGCTTCTGTTTAGCCTGACAAGGGATTCTGCTTCCGGATCTTTATTTTTCCCTGTCCAGACAACTTAAGGGTTTTGTTGGCGGGTGGAGTTTTTCAAGTCCCTGTCCTGGCTCAGTTGGCACAAATAAGGGAGTGCATAATTTAAAAGGACGTGAACGCTGATATATAAAAGGAGGACATGCTTCAGCTGTTTTCATGGGCTGTTGCTCCAGCAAGTGACCAATGGCCAGGCAGAAAAGAAGGTCAGATTGGCAAATCAGAGTGAAACAAAGGCCGGAGTGGGAGGCTGGGTAGATTCTCAGCCTCTTGAACCACATGCCTGCTGCATTATAATTACATGGCTTCAAAACAGCCCAGAAGGAGGAAGCTTTGCCAATAATATGTCAAAAGGCTATTTTGAAAAATGGTTGGTCCGAGTCCCACAGGCTGAACCCTTCTGTCCTTTGCACATGTCTATCAGTTATAGCCTCTGAATGTTGGGGACTGTATTTATTTTACCTCCCAGAATACCCAGCAAAAGCATCTGTGTAGTATAATGATACAGGCCAAGGGTTTGGGAAGAAATCTAAAGCCTGTCTCTGATGTCTGTTTGCTGTGTGACCTTGGGCAAGTTCCTTAACCTATTTTTAAACTCAGTTTCTTGATCTGCACAATGGTGATGCCACCAACTACATAGGGTGGTTGTAAGAGTTAAATGAGATTATATTTAGCATTATGCCTGATTTGCAATCATTACTCCATACCTGGTAATTACTCATTGATGGTCAGGGAGAGAGGCAATAAAGATGGGTATGAGAAATATTCTTGGATTCCTATTTGATTAAGGAAGGATAACATTGCTACAGACCTAGAGCCTTAGTGTTCCACCTGAGAGTACACGCTCACATTTTCTATTTTCAGAGACTGGTAAGCATTCTGCCTCTCTCAGTTCATTCACCACAATGCCCTAAGGTATGATGCAGATTAAAGAGAAAAGTTTTATATTCAGAGTTATAATCCACAAAGATTTGAGGTATTAAAAATTCAGATCATAAGCAGTTTTTCTTTTAAATCTGCCCTTTCGACATGAAATGTGTCATTGCAAATTCTTTGGGAATGTGAAACATACCAGAACTCAGCTTAAAATTGTAGGACATTCATACTTAAAAATGATGAAACTTTATTTAAAAAAAAAACCCTTCTGGCTTTTTATTGTTCACTCAGTATTTCAAGTCTTCACAAAATAGACAATGGGTCAGTGACTGAGTAAAGTGTCAGTATCTGTTATGGCTGATTTGTACCCCTCCAGCAAGTTATTTCACTGGGGAAAGCCAGAGCATGTCAGAGGTGGGAGGAATAAAAATGACATACTAGTCAAGGTGTTATAGTAGACCATAGTAAAATACAATGCTTTTCAAGATTAATATCTTGCTGCATTATAACACGCTAAGAGAGTCTTACGATACGCTTCATTACCCGAGGACATTTCAGGGTGGGGAACAGTCCTTTAAACATCAGTTAACTAAACTTTTTTTTTTTTTAATTATTGGATTTCCCAGTTGCCTAGAGCCAGACAAATTAAGTAACCAGCTGAAAAGTCTTCTTGCCTTGTCAGGAAAGTACAATGTTCATTTTATTTAAACTCAGTGACTTGCTTATTTTTCTAAGCATGGCCATCTTTTTTGTGTGTGTGTCTTTTTTTTTTTTTAGTTGGAGGATAATTGCTTCACAGTGTCATGTTGGTTTCTGTCATACAACAACATGAGTCAGCTGTAAGCATACTTACATCCCCTCCCTCTTGAGGCTCCCTCCTTTTTTTTTTTTTTTTAGTTGGAGGATAATTGCTTCACAGTGTCATGTTGGTTTCTGTCATACAACAACATGAGTCAGCTGTAAGCATACTTACATCCCCTCCCTCTTGAGGCTCCCTCCTTGTCCCCCCTCCCCACCCCCAGGTCATCACAGAGCACCAGGCTGCACTGCCCAGCAGCTTCCCACTAGCTATGAGCACAGCCAACTTGATGATTTCTAAATCCTCCTTGCTTCCTCCCCCACGCCCCCATCACCGTGGACCTAGTTCTAAAGCTGCTGAAATGCTCGAGGAGGTTAACAGGAGAGAGAAGACAACATGT